TGGCGAATTAGCGATACACTTAATACATCATCAGATCACTTCACCATCACCTTCGACCTGCAAGGAACACCAGATATAAGATCCACGACAAAAGTTTACACCAACAACCCAGGCTCGTGGGAAAACTTCGACAAAAAATTAACAGCATCTTTAGATATGATAGACACAGAAAACTTAAGCGTTAACAAACTGGCGAACACCTACCTGGCGAAAATCAAAGAAACCGCAGACAAAACAATTAGACGATCACATAAAGAAAAGCCCATAAAACCCCCCTGGTGGAATGATGAAATACACAATCTAACTAGAAGAATTAACGCAATACGAAATTCACTTAAATGTCGTTGTTCCTTTGACCCCAACCGCCTGATAACCTTAGTTGAAAAACTGAAAGAATTAAGGAAAACGCTGAAAGAGAAGATTCAACAGGCGAAAATTAAAAGCTGGAAGGAATTTTGTGGAAACTTGAATCCTGAAAATGTATGGGACCCAGTTAACAAACTCATAAAATACAAGAAAAACCCCGACGCCAGATGCTTAATAGTAGACGGTAAAGAACTTACGCCCAAACAATCAGCCGAAAGATTATTAGACGAAATATTTCCAGACGAAAACAGTTGCCGAAAACTCATCATACATGATAATCCCCAACCTGACGATCCCCCTTTTACATTAGACGAAATGAAAGATATTTTCACCTCAGTCCATAAAGAAAAAACTCCAGGCTCTGATGGCTTAACGCCAATAATATGTGAACACATCAAACAGCTAAACCCATCAATACTGTTAAAAATATATAACAAATGCCTGCAATCAGGCGAATTTCCAGAAGCTTGGAAAACCGCTACTGTTGTCTTCATACCAAAGTCGGGAAAAGATAATTATCAAACTGCAAAATCCTATCGCCCGATAGGTTTACTCTCGATGTTATCAAAAGGGTTAGAAAAAATGATCAACCGCCGGTTATGTTGGCACCTTGAAGTGAACAACAGAATCAGTGACGTCCAATACGGCTTTAGAAAAGGCGTTTCGTCTGAAAAAGCTGTTGACCATCTCGTCTCAAAAATAAACCTGGCGAAGTCGAATCCCAATTGTATGTTACTGGTTATGGACATTGAAGGGGCATTTGATAATGCTCAATGGCAACAGATTATTAACCGCCTGGAAGAAAACAACATGCCGCCTAATCTCATTCGCCTGATTAAAAGCTATTTGACGAACAGATATGTCGAAACTAACTACATGGGAGAATACGCCAAAAAGAAAATTGGAAAAGGATGTACGCAGGGATCGATATTAGGACCACTTCTCTGGACCTTAATCATTGACCCTCTGCTCAAACGACTAGAAGAAGAAAAGATTGATGTTATGGCGTATGCAGATGACGTTTCGATATTATTACATGGAGAAAAAGCAGAGATAGAAGTGAAGATGGAGAAAGTGAACCAGATATGCTCGGACTGGGCGAAGGAAAACAAAATGAAATTCTCACTGGAAAAGACAATGGTTATCTGGTTCAAAAAACAAGAGGAAACTCGCCAAATGACACTCAACAACCAACAAATAAAAGAAACAAGTTCAGCAAAAGTATTAGGCGTTTGGATTGATAAAAAACTGAGTTTCCAACAACATGTAAAACAGGCGATAAAAAAGGCGAACGCCTATTCACAAAAAACAGCTGCAATCGCCAGAAGCCTCTTTGGTAATCACCCGGAAATCTTTCAACGGATTTACGAAGGAGTTATCATCCCGACGCTAGCCTACGGAGTAGCTACATGGGGTAAACGCCTGAAACTGAAATCATGCCAGCAACAATTAAAGCGGATACAGAGAAATTATATTTTAAGAACTCATAAGTTACATCAGACGACTTCATGGCTGAGCTGTTGGTCGTTATGCGGATACAAGCCAATTACTGAACAACTGCAATCAATCAAGTTATGGAAAGATATTACTCTCCTGAAAAAAGAGAATAACATTCTACCAGGCGATCGCCCATTGGAATCTCAACAACATTACGACGAGGAAAGACATCCAACTCGCCATATACCAGGCGAAATAATTTTCATTGCAAACCAGAACCACACGCCAAATCAATCAGAACTAGAGATATTTACAGATGGTAGTAAGAGCAGCGAAGGAGTCGGAGCAGCATATTGTGTATTTAAAGAAAATAGAAAAATCGCCCAGAAAAAGCTCAAACTGGAGAAGTATTGTACTATCTACCAAGCCGAGTTACTGGCGATTCAAAATGGACTTGAATACATTAATAAATCAAACGCCAAATCAGTAACAGTGTATACTGATTCTCTTTCATCATTAATGGCATTAAAAAACCTCCACTCGTCAGATCGCCAAGTCAATCAGATCAAACGCCTAATAAACTCTATTCTTGACAGAAAGATAACCCTGAATCTGGCGTACGTGAAAGCTCACATTGGTATTGTTGGAAATGAAGAAGCCGATAGATTGGCAAAAGAAGCAGTTCACATGAAAGTCCAAAGCCACTTGGATATAATCCCACGTTCATACCTAAAATACCAATTAAAGATCAAGTTAAATCAGGCGATTCAGCAACTTTACATTGACAATGTACATGAACCGCAAAACGCCTGGTTCCCAATCCTACCTGACGATAAAAACATAGAGAGACTCATGAAAATACAAAGATTAATCTTTCCATTCATCACAGGACATGGGTTCTTTTTAACTCATTTGAAAAGATCAAACAAAAACATTGATGATACTAAATGTAAATTCTGTGAAGAAGAGGAACAAAACGCCAATCATATTCTTTGGAACTGTGAATATTTCAGGCGAAACAGAGAAGCAATTGACGGTATCCACTCGGAAACGTCAAGAGATGATAGCCGCCTGAATGAAAGAAGTCTAATCAAAATTATTAATGAAGAAACAGTCGTAACTTCAATCAAAACTATTTATAAATTCTGTACAAACGCCAATTTAAATTTCGTAAAATCAATCGCCAATTTAAACAACAACCGCCAGATGGAAGATCAAGCGATTCCAACAGCTGATCAATCAGAAGCAGTTCAACCTTCACCCTGACAACATCAAACATTACAAATCGCCAACTTTTAAATTTATTCATTTTAAACAAATTATCTCAATCTAATTATTCAAATTTCATCTTTTATTTTGTACATATTATTATATTTTTCAGTTCCTAATTATTATTCAAACTTATTGTGTAAAAAATTTAGTGTTAAAAGTGAAAATCGCCTAATCTCAGTGACAATCGCCTGATAAAACTAAGTGACATCAACTCTTTGTGAAAATGGAGCAACCTTGGGATGAATTCATGGAAACTTGTGCATCCAAAGAGACAGAAAAAGTGAACGAAAAGAAGAAATCATCTTCAACAACACCGCCTGAATCACCAACAAAAAAGAAAAAACAAAAAACTAGGCGTACGCCTGAAAGAACATCATCAGGCGAATTACCTGTTTACGACGAAGACCTTGAACTCGCCTGGGACCAAAACATTAGTCCAATGTCCGCTCTACATTCAGCATCGACAAGATCAATTGGCACACAAATCACAGTGAAAGACGAAGAGAAATTCTTGAAGAAATGTTTTGGCGAATTCGCCGAATCTTTGGAAAAAGACTATTGGCGTGGACACGAAAATTGGTCTACCAGGTGCTTTAATGAGAAGTTGATCCAACTTGGTCCTCGGATTCTCTCAAACCACGCCAAGAACATCGAGAAACTACTCACCAAGAAAGGAAAGAAGCTGAGAAAGCTTAAGATGGAGATAGAAGAGTTAAACGAACGCCTAAAAAGAAAATCGCCAGAAAAAGAAATAGTTCAGGCGAAACCAAAAGAAATTAAAAAACAAGTAGTCAACCGCCCGATCAAAAGTGAAAAAGAAATGGTAACCATTCAGAGATGGGGAGAATTAAGCAAGGAAGAGTTTGATATGGTACCAAAAGAATACCAATCGGGATTCTTTAAAGGAATGAAAATAATTCTTCAGGCGTTCAACAAAGCGAACAGGCGTTGGTCGAAAATTGAACCAGGATTGACCCAGTTAAAACTCTGTATGTTAAGAAAAGGAAAAGGCGGTGAGAGATGCCTTTATGCGGAGACAAGGAAACAGAGAAACTTAGCTGGTCATTGTGAGAAATATCATAGTAAAACGCCTAAAAACAAACGAGAATACATTTGGGTAGTTGTACCTGACGAAAAGGCAATTGAACTGATGAACGCCTGGAAAAGAAGTTTAAATAAAGAACCAAAGAAAGCACCATCTTCAAGAGAAATGGTATCATCTTCATCGTCTGAAAATGAAGATTCATCTTGTGAATCTCAACCTTCAGAATCAGCTCTTATAAGTGAACAAGTTAATGTGAAAGAAAGTGACAACGCCATTTCGCCAGAAAGCATCAACCGCCTGAAAGAAACAAAAGAATCAGTCGTAGAGCCTACAACGCCTAAAAATCAACCATCAGGCAAAAAATTAACAGACGAATCACCAAACTCTGTACTAGATGAAACCTTCCAGCCACAAGCTCACAGCAGTCCACTGACTTTAACGTTCTCACAGACGCTTGAAGCAGTCGCAAGTTTAAGTCCTGATACTTTGAAAGAATTTTCAGGCGTAATCGATCAAATTAAACCAAGTGACATTGAACCGCCTGAAGAGGACCCATATGAGGAATACTTAGATGCTTGTCTTGGCGAACTGGAAGATTAAGCGTTCATAATCAGGCGATTGGGCGATTGTAGATGGAGCTACTGATCGACACAACCAACAACAAACACAAATCTCAGTTTGGATTCAACTCTCAACAAGTGAACATCAAACTTTGCATCTCCCAATTCATTTGTTTAATTCAGTTTATTTTAATCAACAAATTATTTCAAATTCACCAAAATTCATCTTAATCAAAATTTATTACTACAAATCTTCCCAAATTATCATCCCAATCATCTTAACATTCAAAAATATCATCTTAACCTCAACCGCCTGAAAAATGGAAAATAAAATGAACATTGAATCTGACGTTTTAGTGAATGTTACCAAGTTTATTGGTGAAATGAAAAGTGCTTTAAGTCATATGATTAGTGCCTTAGTTGAACTTAATGCAACAATAAGAAAGAGACAATTGGAACAAGTTACTATCATGAATGAACCAGTAAAAAAGGAAACACCTCCATCATCGCCAATTAAAAACGAAACGCCTGTTGAAAGTCAACCGCCTGAAAAGATTGAAGTGAAAGTGAATGACAATGAACAAGAAGAAAAACCAACTATCCATCAATCGCCTAAAAAACGATTCCTGGCGGTTGAGAAACAGGCGATTGAAAAAGAACAGACGCCTGAAGAAGGTGAATGTGAAACCTCTGATGAAGAAACACGTCAGGCGGTTGACAAAATTCAAGAAATAACGAAAGAAATGCAACAAACTGAGATTGATCGCCAGATCATCAAGACGAAAAAGATTCAAGAGGAAGAAAAAGAAAAGGAAAAGAATGAAATGGAACAGGCGAAAAAAGAGGTGGAAGAAATAGTAAAGGAAAAGAAAAAGAAAAAGGAAAAGAGCAAGAAAAAGAATGTTCCAGAAGCAATAACAATCCCGTCAACCCCTCCCCAAGTCCAACCGCCAAAAAGAAAATCAGAAAGTCCAGGCGAAATCCCACCAAAGATAGTCAAAAAGGACCCGGATGAAAACGTCCAAGTCTACCAATGTATTATAAAAGACTGTGATTATCCCGCAATTATCCTGGACGACATTAAAACTCATTATAAAATGGCACATAAGCTAGTAATGGACGAAATTCGCTCAGATAGAGTCAAGCCATTTGGCGAATACAAAGTAGAAAAACTCGCCTGGATCCAGTCGTACAAAGCCAGGAAACAAAATGCCAAAGAAAAATAAACCAAAGAAATAGAAAAATTTTGCAAACGCCTGAAAAATATAAATTGGCGTATTTTCATAAACTTTGTTATCTTTATTATTAAACCGCCTGATAAACAAAAATTCGTATAAAACATGTAACCGCCCAATCCCCCCACCCCTCCGTTTATGTTCAAATGTTATCAATATAAAAATTTTGTAATCTCAACCCCAACCGCCTAATTACAAACCAGAAAATATCTGGCGAACCAAAACAAATAATTCACAAAAACAATTGTATTAATCAGAAATGAATATTTTATTATATATATTCAAAAACAAAATGTATAATCAATGTAACCAATGTTTCATATCCAACCAAAATTCTATGGCTGGAACTGTTTATGATAAATGAGAATAAACCGTGAAGAGACGCCTAATCTCGAAAACGACTGATACCTGGCGAACGACCACCTCTTGGCGGTTGAACGTCAGATCATCAGGCGTTTGAAATTACAAACGTTCTCAGGAACTATTGCCCGAAAAAAAAAAAACCTAACCTAACCTAACCTAACACAACCTAACCTAACCCTGGCCTAACCTAGCCAACAACCTAACCTGGCCTGGCAACCTAACCTGGCCAACAACCCAACTAACCTGGCCTGGCCTGGCCTGGCCTAACCTAACCTAACCTAACCTAACCTGGCCTAACCTAACCTAACCTGGCACAACCTAACCTAACCTAACCTAACCTAACACAACCTAACCTAACCTAACCACAACCTAACTGGCCACAACCTAACCCGCCCTGGCCAAGCCAACCTAACACAACCTGGCCTAACCTGACACCAACCACAACCTAACCTAACCTGGCCTAACCCAAACTAACCTAACCTAACTTAACCTAACCTAACCTAACCTAACTCTAACCTGGCAATAAGATTGAAACCAGCTGTTATTCAAGTTTAAGTGTTTTCAACAGACGGAAATAGTACTTGGTCACCTTGGTAACGAGCTGCTTCTACGTTACGAAACTTCGTGCTTCAACGCACTGCTCCGTTGACCTGGTTAAACCCGCTGCCTATAAATAGGAGTGAATTCCACATCGGAGGTCACTTCTGAGAAGAACATCGAAGTCACAACAGTTACAGCTACGCACCTACGAGCCTACTTCTTCTACGAAGCTAGTCTTATTACGTTGGAAAATGTTGGATACGCCCAGTAACAGTAAAGAAATAGCTAATCGAGCTGGAGGAAGAGATAGAAGTATGTCTAACCCTATTACGCAAGCTGATAGAGTTTCCTTAAAGCATTGCTTAGCTATACTGGACTCTATGAAACAGTATGATGATGAAGGAAGGGTCATTACCAAAGACCCTCCCCAATTCACCCCGAGTAGAAGTGTAGCAAAGGAAAAAGAGGACAAGAGTAAGTCCAGGAGAAGTATCAATGGAAGCTGAAAACACGGAAGAAGTGCCAACAGTTAAAGGAGTGTTAGATGTGATCGTCAATATGATCTGCCAAATAAGAAAACATGCTGAAGATGCCACTAAAGCAGTACGAATGGCAACTGATATGCAAAGTGAACACCGGGAAGTAGCCCTCAGTAATCTGCGTCAAGTCACGAAAAAGACCGAACAACTGCATAGCATCAAAAACATGCTTGTTGATGTTATGTTAGAGAAAGTTGCTGAAAGTGCTGTGGAGAAAGCAAAAAGTGAAATAATCGCTATCACAGAGAAAATTGTAGAAAGTCGTCCTACGTACGCAAGTAAAGTGAAGCAGTCAAAAGCAAGTACTGATGGAACATGCTCGTTCGTAGTAAAGCTCAAGGAAAACGCAATGGTAGAAGGAGATAAACAGAAAGACTGCTCAACAGTATTCAAGGAGAAAATCAATGTAAATACGCTTGGCGTAGGTGTTAAGCTCGTAAAAGGTATTGGTCATGATAGAGCCCTGATTCGCTGTCCTACGATGAGTGATAAGAATAGAATTACGCAGCAGCTTAATGCTACGCAAGCATTGGACGTGGAAGAAGAAAAGCCGCCGCACCTCTATGTGCGCCTAGTAGTGTACATCAAGCTGAGACGTAGAGAAAGTTCTGAACATATGTTCTATCAGAATCGAGATATCTAGCTGAATACTGAGAGTGAAATGGAGTTGAAACAAGATATAAAATATACCAAGGAGAAACGTGATTACAGACCTGATGGTCTAAAATCACGAACAAGAGATGTAGTTTTGAAAGTAACACCAAGCTCTTCAATGCACTGGTTACCGCGAAAGAGTAGCTGTTGAATACCAAGTTTGTACAGTCTTTCCATACGCAAGTAACAAGATGTCACAAATGTCTGTCCTGGACATATTGGTAAAACTGTCGTCAGAAGGAGACGAACTCTAAATGCTTTACTTGTCAAGGAGCATCTAGCTAAAGATTGTCACAAAAGATGCTGAAGCACCGATGCGTAAATTGTGAATCACATCCTGTGTTCAGTAAAGATATTGGTTCTAGTAAAATCCCCATCACACCCACAAAATCAACTAAATGCCCAGCATACAATGAAGTTCTCGAAAACAGAAGAACATAATGTTCTCCTACATTCGATAATTTAAATATAAGATGAACAAAAATTTTAAAGTTATGCAGTTAAATGTGAACAAAAGTGAAACATCGACGACGCAAGTGATTACACATTGTGAGTGTGAAAAAACATCCATTTTATTTTTACAAGAAACCAATAATTTTAACGGAATCCTAAAAGGCTGTCCAAAGAAATATATACAACATACTCCAGCAAAAAAGTGTTCATCTGGCTGCAGATACGCAGCGGTTGTAGTATTAGACACAGACATACCACAAATGCCTATTGAAACCAACAGTCCGTACATCGCAGCTTGTCGCATAAAAACCAAGAATGGATGGATAACTTGTATATCAGTCTATGCACCACCATTATACCATCGTGAGGAGATATTTGCAGCACTCAGCAAAGTCCTGACCGAATATAGAACTGATGAGATTCTCTGCCTAGGTGACTTCAATGCTAGGTCATCGCAATGGGGAGACTCTAAAACCAATGCAAAAGGAAGACATCTCTATGACTATCTTGAACAAAATAATCTAGTTCTGATTAATGAAGGCACTGCACCTACGTTCAGTGCCACGAGAAATGGTATCGAACATAAAAGTATTGTTGATTTAACAGCTGCAACTGAAAAACTTGTCGGTAAAATTGGGAATTGGAAAGTAAGACAAGACATTGGAACAACGTCAGATCATTATGCAATAACATTCGAGTTAGATGCAATGTATGAATACTCCAGACTTGATTCAACAAAAATTTTCAAGTCAAAACCAACCAACTGGAAAAGGTTCAAGTTAGTCTTTGAACAAAAAACTGATTCCATCAAGCTGAAAAATCTCGAAGGAATAAAGCTGGTGAATGCGTATACGAAGGCACTAACCAGTGCGTCACAATATACCTTGGGCAAACCAACGCTGCGTAAAATAAATGAGGAACCAAGATGGCTTACAAAAGAGATAAAGGACTACGATAAAAGAATATCTGCCATAAGAAGGAGTATAGCAAATTGCAGTAGAGCTGAAAGACGAGATCAACTGAGGCAGAGTCTCAGTAAGCTTAGAGAAGAGGTCAAGAAGACGATTATAACATCAAAACGCAAAACCTGGAGAGAATTCACGGAAACAATGGAGGAAACTAGTGTATGGGATACGGTGAACAAATGGATAAGACATACACAAATGATTCAGCAGCAATGTCTTATGTCAAATGGTAAACTGCTTTCGGCAGAAGATTCTGGTATGCTCCTTCTGAACACCTTTTTTCCGGAAGACGAACCGAAGTATGACAACGAAGAGCAAGCGCAAATACGAGTAAACGTAGGTACGCCTTACGCAGCTACGTCTGAACCACCTTTTACGATGGAGGAAATGGAAAGAATCTTCAAGAAAGTTCATTATGCGAAAGCGCCAGGCTACGATGGACTGAACCCAAGTATATGTGAATTTGCTAGAGAGAGTCAACCAGCTCTCCTCCTCAAGGTCTATAATGAATGTTTGTCTAGTTCAATTTTCCCAAAAAAATGGAAAAAGGCAGTAATCAAGTATATCCCGAAACCAGGGAAAGGTGACTACACGCAACCAAAGTCATACCGCCCAATAGGCTTGCTACCGCTACTTGGCAAAGGATTGGAGCAGCTTATTCATGGAAGACTCACCTGGCACTTAGAAAAATGCAACTACCTACACGATTCACAATATGGATTTAGAAAAGGAAGATCAGCTGAAAATGGACTGGAAGTACTAATAGCGAAGATAAAGGAGAAAAAGAGAAAGTTCAAAAACGTCCTCTTAGTATCTTTGGACATTGAGGGTGCGTTTGATAACGCTTGGTGGCCAAGCATCTTAATGAAACTCAGAAAAGTCGAAATACCTGCAAACTTGTATCATCTTATAAAAGACTATCTAAGAGATCGAACAGTCCAAGCGAGATTCATGGGAACAAGGGTAGAGAAAAATAATAACCGAGGATGCATTCAAGGCTCTGTACTTGGTCCACTCTTCTGGCTTATTATTATCAACGACCTATTAGAAAAGCTGTCAGAAAAAATCGAGGTTGTAGCGTACGCAGATGATGTCAGTATAATCCTAACTGCTGATACACAAGAGGAGTTAGAAGGACTAAACACCTTCATGAAAGAAACTTGTGAAACATGGGCAAACACAAATCACATGAGATTCTCCGCATCAAAGTCCGCTTGTATGAAAATGAAGTCGATAAAGAACCAAGACATTTCGATTAAGCTTGACGACAAGATTATACCATACGTCAAGGCAATTAAAACCCTTGGGGTCACAATTGATACGAGACTAAACTTCAACCAACATCTCAATGAAGTTATACGCAAAGCGAATGGAATATCGAGCAAGGCTATAGCTATAGTTAAACGCACCTACGGAAGGCACAACGCGATGTTCAGAACCATCTACGAAGCAGTAGTGATACCAATCTTGTCCTACG